TTCCAAGGAGCAGCTGGTGAGCTTGAACTGCCAACCTTGCAGTTCAAATGGCTTTGCAGTCTGGTGCATTAACCCACAGAACCACACCAGGACTCCTTAAATTACTTTTGTTGTTGTTGTTTTACCAGGGTTTAAAAGGTTTGGAGTAGAGAAAAGGTATCATGGGTATTCATAGGAATAGCTGGGACTTTCCAGGAAATGCCTCATTTAGGAGGGGTCATATGCTAACTTGGTGTGTCTGGCCCATTTCTTCAATATGGATTTCAGTGCAAAGGCCTTTGGTAGAAGCAGACAGAACTTATTCTGGGATGTTGAGCATACTTGGTTCTTTGGGACTCTAAATTCAGCTTTCTCATAGAGCTAGCATGCTCCTTTGTCCCAGTAGATGATTTGGCCCTTAAAGTTATGCTTAGGGTACAAGGTAAACCAGTCAGACCTTTAAAATATCTCACAAGGAAGTAAAAATACAGAGCTTTTATGGGGGGAAGTAAAAATACAGAGCTTAATGTCAAGTTCCATAGACTATCGTCCAGTGCGTTACCCTACAGTGCTACACCAATACTTTAATTCAAGAGTTACGGTGTTACTATTAAGTGCTGAGGAGTCAGTTCCAACCCATAGCGACCCTGTATAGGGTTTCCAAGGAGCAGTTGGTGAGCTTGAACCACCGACCTTGCAGTTCAAAACACTTTGCATTCTGACACATTAGCCCACAGCACCACACCAGGACTCCAGAGAACACTAAATAATGGAAGCAGGAGGGGTGATTACTCTTTTGTATATACTGGTGTGGTGGTTTGGGTGGTGTTGGTTCCAACTCATAGCGACCCTGTATAGGGTTTCCAAGGCTGTAAATCTTTATGGGAGCAGGGAGCCTCATATTTCTCCTGCAGAACCGCTGGTAGTTTCAAACTAGCTGACCTTGAGGTTAGCAGCCCAACTCGTAACCACTTCGCCATCAGAGTTCCTTAGACTGATGTGAGAGGAGACTAATTAGGAAACATTTGAGCACAGATCTGAGGAGATCTGTGAGAGACTGCAACTGAAAATGGACTGAGGCAGGAACTTGTTTGATAGGATCAAGGAAAAATAAAGTGACCAGTGTAACTCAAGCAGATGGGAAAGATCAATCCGAGTGGTAACAAGAGTCTACATGATGTTAGACCTTTGCAATGACTTTACCATGAGAGAAATGAGAAACTAGTAAAGGGTTCTAAAACCAATACCATGATAAGAATTTGATTAAAAAGCAATATTTGATCTATTCTGCTGGTACGGTATTTAGGATCAGCACTGGGCTGCGAACAACAAGATTGGCAGTTTAAGCCCACCACTGCTTTTAGGAAACCCTATACAGGGTCTCTATGAGTCTGAACTAACTCGACGACACTGAACAATAACAATAATCTAGAAGATATTGTTGAATGGGGCAAAGATGTAAGCAGAGTAGCCATCCATGGTTTTCCATCTGGTGCCATATTCTCATTTAAGATCACAGTAACTTTCTGTGTGGTATTATCTTCATCAAACACTGGGAATCAAGGAATGAAGTTACTGGCCCCAAAAACTCACAGAGGCTAGGTGGACATAGGGTTTAAGCCTAGAATCTTTGAAACTAAAGACCAAGTTCTTAACGCCTATCTTGTGCACAGTTAAAATTGGACGCTATCCTCTCAAAGAGCGTAATTTTAACATCAGTTGTATGAACTACTTGAAAGTCCTCAGTAATTTGACTGGGTTACACTTGAAAGAAGAAATATAATTTTTTGTTTCTTCTCTGTCATAGCTCTTTTCTTTATGCTATCTTTCCTATCTGTTCAGATTTCTTTTAGAAGTGAGTTTTCAAATTTAGTGTTTTATTATTAACTACAACTGAATTCATTTGTATTACACTAATCTGTCATCTTAAAGAGTTTCACAGACAAAATAAAGGGTCTTCAGCTGTTGAAGGCATTTTAAACACCTGTTTTCCCCTCCAGCCTTTCATACAAATTCACAAATGCTGGCAGCAAACCATAGTCCATTTATTTGAAGTGTCCTCATGTTCCCTCCTAAGGAACTTGCCAAGTTATTGTCCTTTCAGGTTGAATTCAATCTACATATATTGAAAAGGAAGTAAGCAATTAACAACTAAAGAGACATCAACTATACATTAGCTGGAAAGCAGAAATTCTTGTCATGTTATTTCTCCAATGCTTTCTTTAGTTCTGAATGATGTCAACTGTTTGCTACTGATTTTCTGTTTTAGGGTTCTGATTTTCAATAGCACCAAGTGCTATTATAGATCAGTTCTATTAGCTTTCTTCCTTTCTTTACAATTCACCTTGTTTAAATTCCTTGGAAGGAAGTGAAACCAGAACAGCTGCTGGTCTAAGGAATGGCATGTAGCCCATTCCATGGTCCCTAGCTCACTCCAGAGCCATTGGGCAGCATGTGGGTCCAAACAGAGGCATGGATTCATTGTCAACTTTCTTATTGGAAGCATTGTCAACTTCTTACTGGACTCCTCCTTTTTTAAAGACTCTTCCACTCTACTTTACCAAGCATCATGTCCTTTTCTAGGAACTGGTCCCTCCTGACAGTCTGTCCGAAGTCTTGTGTTCCTTGCTTTCAAGGAGCATTCTGACTATATTTTTTCCAAGACAGATTTGTTTGTTCTAATGGCAGTCCATGGTACTTCCAATATTCTTCTCCAATACCATAATTCAAATGTATCAATTATTCACTGGTTTTCCTTATTCATTGCCCTGCTTTCACATGAACATGAGGAGACTGAAACTACCATGACATGGGTCACACACACCTTAGTTCTCAAAGTGACGTCTCTGGTCTTTAACACTGGAAGGAGGATTTTTCCAGCAACACTTTGATTTCTTGATTGCTGCATCTATGAACATTGGTTATGGATCTGAGTAAAATGAACTTTTTGACAACTTCAATCTTTTCTACATTTACCATGATTTTCTTTTATTGGTCTTAACTGTGAGGAGTTTTGTTTTAGTTTCATTGAGTTGTAATCCATACTGAAGGCTGTAGTCTTTGATCTTCATTCACAGTCCTCTTTGCTTTCAGCAAGCAAGCTGTGTCATGTGCATATATTTGTTAATCAGTTAATGAGTTTTTAATGAATCTTCCTGGAATCCAATTCTTCTTCATATAATACAGCTTCTCAGATTATTTGCTCAGCATGTTGACTGAACAAGTATGGTGAAAGAATGCAATCCTGGTCCATATTTTTTCTGATTTTTAAATCATGCAGTAGTTTCTTACTCTGCTTGACTGCCTCTTGGTCTACATGATGTTCCTCTTGAGTACATTGAAGTGTTTTGGAATACTCATTCTTGGAACTGTTATCTATAGTTTGTTATGTTCCACATAGTCTAATGCCTTTGAATAGTTAATAAAGTACAAGTAAGCATCTTTCTGGAATTCTCTGCTTTCAGCCAACTTCCATCTGATATCAACAGTGTTGTCCCTCATTCCATGTCCTTTGCTGAATCCACCTTGAATTTCTGGAAACTCACTGTGGATATGCTGCTGTAAAATTGTCAGCCAAATTTGACTTGTGTGTGATGCTAATTATATTGTTAGATGATTTCCATCTTCTGTTGGCTTACATTTCTTTGGAATGGCACAAATATGGATCTTTCCCAGTCAGATGATCAAATAGCTGTCTTCCAAATTTATTGGCATAGACTAGTGAGTGCTTCCAGTAGTGGATCAGTTTGTTGAAAAATTTCAGTTGTCATTTCGTCAATACCTGGAACTGTGTTTCTTCACTAATGCTTTCAGTGCAGCTTGAACTTCTTCCTTCAGTGCCACTGGTTCTTGATCATATGCTATCTCCTGAAATGATTTAGCGTCAACAGTTTCTTTTTGGTCTAGTGATTCAGTGTGTTTCTTCCAAGTTCTTTGGATGCTTCCTGCATTAGTCAATATTTTGCACATAGATCCTTCAATATTGTGTCAAAGCTTGACTTTTATCCTTCAGTTCTTTCAGTTTGAATAATGCTAAACATGAAATTCCCTTTTGGTTTTCTAACTCCAGGGCTTTGTACATTTCATTATAATAGAACAAAAAGACCCGAGTGATCTTACCTTTATCACACTCATCTGAAGAAAAATTGTACAAGAAATTAGCTTCTACCTTTTTGATTAAAGGAAAAAAAAATATATAGAATACACTCAAACACATTGTATAAAATGAAGTTAAATAATTCGAGGCAAATCAAGTCTACTTTCACTTTTCTTATCCAAATGAACACAAACTAATTCATAATGCAGTTAATTGAAATTTATCTTATACATTGGAGAGAGACTGAACTACAGTTGTGGAGTCCATATCTCAAACCCAGCTCTAGCAAGGATTTATTGTGTGACTTAAGTGATGGTTGGGTGTCATTTAAATGCTCCAGGGTGGTGGTGGTGGTGTGCTGTGGAATCGGTTCCAACTTACAGTGTCCCTGTATGGGGTTTCCAAGGCTATAAATCTTTACAAGAGCAGAAAGCTTCATCTTTCTCTTGCAAGGCAGTTAGTAAATGCAAACTGCTGACATTGCGGTTAGCGACCCTATTTGTAACCCACTACATTGCCAGAGGAAGGAGTCCTGGTGTGGCACTGTGGGTTAATGCGTCAGACTGCAAAGCCATTTGAACTGCAAGGTTGGCAGTTCAAGCTCACCTTTGAAACCCTTATAGGGTCACTATGGGTAGTAATCGACTCGATGACACTTTACAACAACAACAACATTGCCAGAGGAGTCCTGGTGTGGTGTTGTGGTTTAATGTACTGGATTATAAAGTCGGTTTGAACTGCAACGTTGGTGGTTCAAGCTCACCAGCTGCTTCTTGGAAACGCTCTACAGGGTTGTTATGGATCAGAACTGACTCGATGGCACTCCCAGAGCTCCATACCCCTGTTAAATTGGGAAGAAGAATATGCTCTGTTATAGTAACTCTACTAGCATTTTCTCACTTACTCATTTCTGCCTGTCTTTAAGGTCCAGTTGAAAAGTGAAGAATCTAAAACATTTGCTATGAAGATTCTCAAGAAACGCCACATTGTGGATACGAGACAGCAAGAGCACATCCGCTCAGAGAAGCAGATCATGCAGGGCGCTCATTCCGACTTCATTGTCAGGTGGAGATTCTTCCCCTGGGACTCGAGGCGCCGCCTAACCCTGAGTGACATGTCAGGCACACACCGCACAGTCCCGAGCCGCACACTTCAGTCACATACACAAAATGGGTTTTTTTCTTATATGGTTTTCTTTGATTAAAACAAAGAAACAACTAACGCTTTCATTCTATTCATTCATATTTTTTAAAAAAAAGAGAATCATGTTCTACAAAAATAAGGTGTTTTTCCTCAAAGGAATTGTGAAAATAGCAAGCATTCCATTCTTACCCTTTCTGTTACTCCAAATTGCATGTGGACCTTTGTCACTTAAAAAAAAACAAAATATCAAACCAGATTATTTAACCTTTAGTGATCTGAAGACATTTTGAGAGCAAAGAGAAATGGGGAAGATTTTTGTTTTGTTTTTTAAAGTGTACAGGAGAAGCTTTTCTAACTACTTTGCTGGTGGTATTTGCTAAAAATGGAGTCCTAGTGTGGTGCTTTAGGAAAAGCCCTGGACTACAAGGTTGGAAGTTCCAACTGAATCTGGAATTCGTTGGAAGTTCAAATTCATCAGACGCGTCTCAGAAACCCTATACAAAGTCACCATGAGTTGGCACCGACTCAGGGACACTTAATAACAACAACAACAACTTGCTGAGAATAGGCTGAACTTATGTGAACAGCACCCAGATTTCATATATGCTTGTATTTGATTAAGTATAATCTATTTTATATCCTGTACATTTGTCTATTTTTATTGCTCAAGAATATAGACTTTAACAGTAGCCAAATTGAAATAGGAGGAATCCCAACAAGCACTCTGTCCATAAGTTTTGGCTGAATCCATTCAAGGGAGAGACAAAAACCTATGGTGGGAAATAGTTAGGCTCCTTCACCTTGTCTGTAGAATTAGATTGTCCTCTTTGTGACACAATTTCTACTTGGTGAATCAAGAATAAGATTGTAGACTAAACATTTATATGCTTCCAAATACAATAATGTTTATAACCTTTATTTTCTTGCTTGTGACTTACAGACTATATAGAACATTCAAGGACAGCAAATATTTGTACATGTTGATGGAAGCTTGCCTAGGTGGAGAACTCTGGACCATTCTCAGGGATAGGTAGGATATTTAAGAAATTTCTGTCATATGCCTGAAAGTGTTGTTGGCTGTGATGCTCTGTCTGAAGACTCAGATATTACAAAGTATAAAATTTCACACAAACATTTAAATATACTTTGGTGCTGTAAGATAAGCACTGGATTGCTAACCTCAAGGTTCGTGGTTCAAACCCACCAGCCGCTCCATGGAAACCCTATACAAGGTCTCTGTGAGTCAGAACTGACTCAGTGTCACTTAACAACAACATACTTGTGTTTTAAAATATCAAGTAAACATGGGGTACAACCCACTCTACACATATGACTGAGTCATAGATATAAAACATGTTGTTAAGTGCCGTCGAGTCGGGACTGACTCATAGCTACCCTATATGGTGTGTCCAAGGAGTGGCTGGTGAGTTTGAACTGCTGATCTTTTGGTTCAAACTGATCTTGCAGTCCAGTGCTTAATGAGACAAAGTTAGTCTTCAGTAAAAATGATACCTGTCAAAGTATATATACAGACCTTAGTCTAGAATGGATGTTGGAGTCAGATAAGTATCTGGAATTCAGTTCATTGCTGCGACATGCAGAGAATTATAATTACTTTTGGTTTAAAGTGATAATCTAGATTAACTATCACTTTAATTGTTATGCTTCTTACTCATAGATGGGAAGTCTTCCCTTTCCTAACACTGACAACTTTTTCCAATGTAACTTTTTTCCTCAACCATTACACTGTCCCTTTAGCTTTAAAATAATCAAAAGTTTCCAGCCATCCATTTCAGCCTTTAAATAGTCCTAGGAAAAATTAACCCACTGGTAAACAGTATTTTATGTCAGTAGTCTGATTTTCTGTTCAAGGTCAGTAAATGTGGTGATTTACCTCATTTTTCTCTTCAAGGTCAGTAAATTTGGTCAAGGTAGTGAGTTTTTGGTGTTTTTTTTTTTTTTAATTGAAAATTCGTTGTCTTAATTTTCCATCTCAGATGTGTGTAGGTAGAAAACTTATCATTAAAAAAATTGTATTCTATAAAATGTCGCAGACCATAAACAACCTGAAGAGTATACATTTCTAAAATAAAACAAACAAAAACACAGCACAGTTTTATTTTTTTATATGTAATAATCCTTCAGGTGTCATTTGTGTTAATTTCAACATTCATCTGTAGATCTTTCCCTTTTCTTTATTTGTGCCAACCTGCCTCTCAGACTTTTCTTCATTGGATAACACCTTCCTGAAGTTTAGCTATAAATAATCTTGACTCTCCTAGAGAGCCATGTTATTTCTGACAATGTGTTATTTTGTAGCTGTCCAGGAATGGAACAAGTGGCTGTTGGTATGCTATTTGTTTGTATTCTAATTCCTGATTATATTCTGGATTCCTGGTGTGGC